TATGACCTATTTGAGCCAATGCAGATGAATGAAGTTATCTCAGGACGAGACCGCCCTGATTGTAAAGCAAAACGTGATTGGCTATAGCGAGATCGTGCTACGATTGGTCAGCGAATGTGGCTGTTATCTGATTGGCTTGAGTAGACGGTGGGTGAAGACCACGTATTTGTGGATTGTCAGCACGTCTTGACACAAGAAATGTTTCACAATTCACAAATGCACAGGACGCGATTCACAAATGCGTGCAGCTATCTACAAATGCACATGACACGATTCACAAATAAATGCCAGGCAAAGTTGTGGTTGTGACATAAATATATATTTGTGAATTTTTTATTTATTTTCAAATCTAATTTTATTTATTTGTGAATTTAATTCATGTTTGTGAAACTTTAAGATTAATTTGTGGATCTAATTCTATGTATTTGTCAATATGTTTAATGTTTGTTAATCTCTTCACATTTATTTGTGGATCTTAATCTATTTATTTGGAATTAAGCAACAAATCTATCTCCATAGCCGAATCCCGGACATTTTGGGCAATTAAGAAATCCCAGCCGGACGTATTTTTGTAGGTCTAAAAAGAGGACATGTCCGGGGAAAAGAGGACGTATGGTCACCCTAATTTATAATCTATTGCTAATCGATGTATTCTTTTTAAAGTAGTATATGGAACTTATTTTCTGCCTCATTCTGTGACAAGAAGCCTCATCAGATCACAAAGGAAGCATTTGACTGGTGTTGTGGAGTAAAAAGGTTATAATGTTCTCTTTTGTTGGACAACAGGTTTAGAAATGTAAATACAAGGGAGGTTTAGCTTTAGGCATTTTAATTTAAGCATGTTTAGCTTAGTTAACGGAAGGCTACCTGCTGCCATCAGAGCAAGAGTAATTACTGCATTCACGCGCTCCTCGGATGCTCTCATTTCCGGAGTTGTGCTTTTAAGTCGGAATGTGAAAACAAAATGGACTCTCGCTACTACAAAGATGTGTTGGATTTGTATTATTAGAGCTTTCCGACTTGAGTTCACGTGCATTTTCTCAGTCTGGAAATTATTTTTCACGTGCTGTGCCAGTGATGATGCTTCTTACGTCCGTTTCGGATGCACCGAAATCTGCGTTCGGATTCAGTTCTAGTACATACCGGTTACATAGGTATCGGTGCCATATTGGTAACGGGTTTCGTTACCCAACCCTAGATGCTAACGGTCTAATCAGATTCAATGCTCTATGCTAAGCTACAGCTAAAAGTGCAACAGCCAGACCCGGAGATCGGTTAATGGATTATAAAATGGTAAAACTCAACTGTTTAACTCTAGGGGAGTAGGAAAATTAGCCTATTTTCAAAAACAGTGGAGTGTTCCTTTAAAAGACAAGCAGGGTCAAGCAAAACAGCATATCAGCTAAGTACAAATGACACAAAGACCATTTTTGCAAACTTTTAAAATTTTATCTGGTGGGTTCTTGTACGTTTGTTGGTCAAAGGTTTGGTCAAAGCCAGGAGCAAAGTCTAACATCATGGGTTTCCAGTTTCAAAATCTGTCTTATCTTTACATATATACAATCATTCATACACTACAATACCACAAATCAGCATAAAATATTGATTGTACATAAATATGTTAATATTTATAACCCTTTCATTCTGCTATGCTCTAAAACTAAGCCTACTAATGGAGTAAGCAATTCAATGCCAAACATTTCTGTTAACAGAAATCAAAATTATAATAGCAAGAAAAATAATCCCAGATAAACAAAACACACACACACACACACTATATATATATATATATATATCCATAAATAGTGTTCAGGAGGTCTAAACTTAAAAATCCTATCCACCTTTTTCTTTAACGCGGAAGTAAGCCTATGGGTGAGACTTCCGGCTATTTAGCCGCTATAGGTAAATTACGAGGAGAATAACAACGTGCAGTAAACAGTAAAACTGTTTGCACTACAAACCAGTGTGTTCATAATTAAGATAATACATTAAAATAATATAAGACACACCAACTTTCAATATCAAGCAGCAAAACAAACTGTTTTGTTCAGCTAAAAATAGCTGGATGGAGTGGACGCAGATGAGACCAGAAGCCAGACCCATAGACTTTACAAATGGCCGCGCCCATTTTTACAACAAGAACAAGGTGGATTGGTCTGGAACAAATGTCCATCACTTCATGAATCAGTTCAGTCTCTGGGGCTCAAGATGGAACCCTTTTCTCCATCTCTCAAGATGAAAGAACACACACACTACCACCTCTACAGGTTGACAAATGTGCCAGGACATAAAAAAAAAAAAAAAATACTTGGTATAAAAAAAGAAAAGTAAAGAAAACAGACATTGTACGGTCTTCAATAGTTGACATTCAATCTAAATTTCAAGTATCCTTTAACATTCACAAGAACCCTTTCTGTTTTGTTTTTTCAAGAAACATTTTTCTGCAGTACTACCCATGTAGTGTTTTACTGATACATTGAAAAGGATTGAATCACAATGCATGGAAATGTACAACTAATGTCATCAGACCTGCCATGCAAAAACACACAAGGGACAGCCAATATAGGCATACATGAAAATACACTTTCTAGAAACATCTTCAGTATTGCTTCATCTCAAGCTTAGAAAGATTTAGAGCAATATTCAAAAGTACAGAACATTAGATCATAGTCATTATTTCAGTCTTACGTAATGAAATACAAAATAAAGGTAACACTTTACAATAAGGTGCAGTTGTTAACATGTAGTTAATGAATTAACGAACATGAACGAACAATATATTTACTACACTATTTATTAATCCTTGTTAATGTAATTTTATTGTAATGTTATTTGTAATTTGTTAATGTTAACTAATGAACCTTATTGTAGTGTTACCAAAATAAACTAGACTGACATAAACCATAATCTGACAGTGTGCACTTTAACCCCATTATCACTGTATCAAATATGTTAAGAGCAAAAGCAACATAACTTAAAGTGTGTTTTGAACTCACTGGAGGAAGAAAAAAAACAAAAAAACATACTAATTTTTATATATATATATATATATATATATATATAAATAAAAAGGCTATCAATGAACATTATGTAGATATTTTCAGTGAAAAATTATGAAGTGAAAATGCAGTAAAACCCATCTGATTATACCAACTTATCACAAATAAAAATAAATACAAAAAATATTTTGAAACGTTTATATTTTTAAATTGTAACAAAATCTGTTAGATTTTGTAATGAAATCTAATTTATATATATATAAATCTGTTGGATTTTATACTATATTTTTGTGAAAAATTGTGAGTTAGCCTAATGGAATAATACATTAGCACTACTATGACACAGAAAGGAAAAAAAAAAAGTTACTGTGATATTAATATAAATCTTCCATTGGGGAAAAATTGCTTTGTTTTTTTAAATCAAGGCAGATAAAGTCATTAAACACAGGGTGCATCAGAACCAATTGCAATTTGAATGCACAATGGAAGAATATTAGGGCTTTGCTTACGCTAACAGAACACAAGTCAGTACATAAACATTAGTGCAAATTTTGGTAGATAAAGAGGCAGATAATGGTGGGCCTCAATAACTGGTCTGAGTTAAAACAATCAAATACAACTCATACATACACTTCCTTGATTAACTTATGATTATTAACTTAAAAATGAACATCATAAACCTACAAACATTCTACAGCATTATGCACTGGTACATAATACTACAATAAACTAATTGTCAAAATAAAACAAACATGCTTCATAAATTCAAAGCTGTAAAGAAACTGTGATTTTTAGATTCATCTTGCTGGGCTTTGTTAAACCTGCAGGAAACTATGCACCCACATCTGATGAAATATAACATTTCAGTATTATTAATTTGAGGTTAAATGACTTAAAATGAGAAACTCATTTTAAGATATTAAATGTAATATTTCATTAACTCAAGGTATTTTAAAGAGCGACAACTGGACAAGGATTGACTAAACCGTACTCTCATGGCCTAGTAAACATACAAACGTACATCCTTATTCAATACCAATATCAGATAAAACTATATCTGGATTTTATCAAAATAAAATGACTTTTTGTTAGAACCACCGACACTGAACACTCTGTGATAGGAATAATCTGGACCCTCCATTAGCTACAAGACCAAATCTACAATACAGAAAAAAGATAGTAGTAGCAAAATAAAACGCTTTTCACAGAAAAACAAAAGGAAAATTTTCTCAAGATGTGGTCACTCACAGAGAGAGAGAGAGAGAGAGAGAGAACATGCAAGTAAGACTGAGAATAAAAAACAGCTGTTCTGACTGCCATATCAGAAGGATTTTATAGGGATAAAGCTTAAACTGACATTTGATTGGAACCTTTGGGACCAGTTACATATTACAGGTGACTATTCAGACACTTGAAAGCGGTCTCAGAGCAAGAACAGGATGAGGAGAAGAAGAATCAAGGAAGAGAAGTATAGGGAGAGTTAGTGTGAAGGAGGCTTTGTTGTAGCCCCCATCTCTGCTAGCATCTCAGAACGCTGGTCTCTTGTGGTCCTACTGTGTTGCTCTGTGTGGCTAAAGACATAACAGGAAACCAGGGGTAAACGGGCACTGTCACTGTTCCTCCAGCCAAGAAGGTTTGTCGGCCCCTGGTGGTTTGAGTTTAATGTTGAACTGCTTGAGGGTCTGTTCCAGCTGTTGCTGGTTTCCAGCAAAGTAGGCAGAGATGGCATTATGGAACAGCAGAAGTTGCTTGTGCATCACTTTGACCTGTAAGAGAGAGAGATACACAAACAAACCATGTCAGATGACAAGATATAGACAATAAATTGATTAAGGGCTACTTGAGTGACTTAAAGAGGAAGTTATGCGGGTGGCTGAGCACCTTGTTTTCTTCCAGGAACTTGAGCTTGATGCTGACATCACTGCGGAGACGTTCATATTTTTCCTTGTGGATCTGGTACTGCTGCTGAGCAGCCTCGATACGAGCCATAGTAACAGCGTCCCGTGGGCCCATGTTCAACTCCTCCAGATCTGCCCTGTATGCATCGAACTCTAGCCTATAGGATATCAGAGAAACACCTTAAATACGCCACATAAAATTAATTTTATACAATGCGATGCCCAAAGTTGAAAGTTATTTATGATGGAATCTGACATTAAAGGTAGCTAGTATTGCATCAGATAAAAGCATAAAGCATCAAAGTTTTCTCAGAGATCTTAGCATGTACCACACAAAATAAATAACTGTGATAGAGGATTTTCAATCAAAAGACTGAGTAAGAGGACCAGCCAGTGTCAAAGCCTGTTGGTGCCTCACTCGGAGTTAATTCAATACCATCTCGTCTGCACAACTGTAACGTATAATGACAACTCTCAAACGTACAGTAGCATCACAGGCTAATTAAGCTAAAACACAATTAAAGTGTTTGAATTTCCATTTGAATTTCATATTGCAGAGAAGTGGAACACCTCAAGAACCTTGGAAAGAAACAACAAAAACAAATGAAGGCTATTATACTAAAAGCTACAGAGTTGGAGTAGCCTTTACCTGGCATTCTCATACATCTTGATAGTCATCAATGTGTCTTCCATTGTTTTGTTCACCAGAGTGTTGATGCTGGACACAAAGTAGTTGATGGCCCCAAGCAGAGTCTCTCCATTCTTGCACAACAACTTCTGTGTTTCTGCATTGTATCCGAACTCATCCTGTGCATGAACAAAACCACAAACCTAAACTTTTAATTGAAAAATAAAGTTGAAATCAAATAAAATGAAAATTAGAACTGTTGGCAGCTAACTGAAATAAAATAAGTGTAAGTACTAAAATGATTAAAACTAAAATAAATTTAAACAGAAAAATTAAATTAAAATGAAAACTGAAAATATAAAAAATAAAAGCCAATTCAAAATATTACTAAATACTATAATATATATAACATTCCGCTCAACTGATACTGACAGCTCTTCATGATAACAATCAGCTTTCATGTCCAAGTAGTTCTAGACAATCCATCCAGCAATGTTAGAGACATTCTTGACTGAAGTGGTGTATAAATAGCAAAACACAAATGCTAAAGTAAACCCTAAAACAATTGTGGCATTTTAGTGTTAACTGTAAGCACCAGTTATTTTTAACACTGACAGTTTGAACTATGAAATGAAATACATGTTCACAGCAGTCCCATAATTATGCATGGCACTCACAACAAATGTCATACATTTTAAGACGGTCATGCTGCCTCACCCGAAGTTCTGGAGACTTCTGACTGAGGTCAGCAAAAGTGTCTCCAAGGGCTTGCTGCGTCTGCACCATGCTGTAAAAGTGGTTGGTTAGCGCTCGCGCTAAATGCAGCACATTCTCATACTTCCGTTTGGTTTCCCGCAAAACCTCAATCTGAGCCTCCAGCTCCAAATCCACAGTACGTGAGCCACGGCCAAACCTCTCGGAGATCATCTGTTTGGTGCACTAAGGGAGAGACGGATAACAAACACAAATGGCTTCAAAATAGAAGTGGTTAACAACACATGACATCTAATTAGAAAAGACAAACAGTTAATTGACAAACCTTGTACGTGTTCAGGCCCCATTTCTTCACGATGTCAAACTTTTCCACAGCAACGCCTCTTGTGGCATCTTCTGCTGTCATGGAGGAATTGCTACTGGCGTGATGCATGTTGGACCCTGATACACACAAAATGCTTAGTGTAAGTTTTGAATTACAACTGTCTGTACTTCCACATTATTTACACATCATTTGATGATATTGTTCGTATAATCGCATCATAGCTCTGAAGGTGTATCAGCTATGTGTAAAACAGATGAGATGAGAGTGAATAAATGAAAGTGTGTTACTGAGTAGGGGGAATGTGTTGCCAAAGAGCCCTTAAATGATCCGACGCTCTTTGGAATACCTGGGATACAGGGGACGTCTTCTGATTGGCGGGCTATTCGGCAGGCAGCAATCTGGCTTGGGGCAATGTTAACACCCCTAGACTTCATTCGCAGGTCTGGAGGTGGTCATGGTCAGGGTAAGCATAGGATGTTGGGGGTATATGATGGGGAACAGGAAGTAGGTGGTGGATATGTAAGAAGTTTTAAAATTATTTTTACAATGGAATGGGTTGTACCATATGAGTAAAGTGTATAGAAGTGTGTAATGCCAGTGCGTATGTGTGTGAATGTGAAGGAAGAGCAAGAGGATAGAGGGAGGGGAAAGGGAAAAAAGGAAAGGTGAGAAAGAGAAGGTGATAATGTAATGAGATGAAATGAAAACAGGAAAGCATGTACAAACAGATGCATGACAAACAGATGGAGACAATTTACAGTTCACTTAACATCACACAACTGTTATTTAAAAACCCCAATATGTCTGATAATTTATTTTTAACTACAAGTATTCATTTACACAGAAAAAGATTGTGACTAGAAGTAACTTGTCTGAATAAATAAAAGGATTTACCAAACATATTTTACACCCAGCCATTCTGCAGCAGATTTTTCTAAATATTTCCTCTGCAAAGTCAGCAGGATTAAAGCCAGATTAAAATTTAAAACTGATTTCCGAAGCAAAATGACAAAAGGTTTCCCATTACAAAATTCCTGCTAGTGAAAAAAGCAACCTTAACCCTGCAGGAAAGAATAGAAAGAGAACTGTAGCCCAGTCCAGTCTGCTAAGAGAGAAAAATAAAAGCCAGGCAATTCAATTTGTTCTTGTAGTACAGCATCCCATACCCTGGGAAAAGACAAAAACAGTTTTGAAAAGGACTATAATTCAAGGCACCATGGGAAGGTGGAAAACCAGAAAGAAGACAGATGGGTTACAAATGAGGCATGAATGACCTTGCCCTTCATTTGGAATGCGTCTGTTGCCCAAAAAGTCAATGTTAAGACGGACCGCAGGGCCTGAAAAGGGTAAAAGAGACAGAAAGTCCTCACTGAATCAGAAGTGAATAGATTTAAGGGGCCAGGATGGTCACCTTGCAATCACATATCCTGTCCAGACAAAAAGTTTTTTTTTTTTTAGCCACATCAGTAACTAAATTAAAATAAAATCAAAAGCAGTTCGTTTTGGCTGGGTTACTTTGAATTAGCCTAATTTTTTATTGCAGAAGAAATGTATTAAAAAACAGCTGAAGCTCATTTGTCTTTTCAGAACTGTGGCCTTTTCACTCTAGTTAATATCAAAATGTAAAGCCATTAAGCATAACTCACAGAATACCTAAACAAATAATGACCAATGCCGCCAGAGGCCCTAGATCTCATTTGGATTGCACCATAGGAAAGAAATGAGTGGGAAAACCCATAGTGGAAATTATGCAAAACATATTGTACAATATTTTGGCATCTCCAAAAAAAAATATGTATGCATTTGCTTTAGAAAGACAAAAGGTCATCAAAGTCATTCCAAACATGGTAAATATCACTAATAACAAAACAACTTTAGACTTGGGTCAAGTGAATTTTAAACTAGATTATTTATACACAGATTTCTTTGCTTAGTTGATTTAATAAAAAAAATATTGTAGTTGTGCACATTGCAGTAGCACTTGGGGTTTAGATGAACATGTTAAGTATAATGAGGAGTTAAAGAATATTAGAGTGAGCTATACCTTTGATGGAGCTTGTCGGAATGATGCCTTCTGTTGTACCGCCATAACCACCTGATACGATGCTGGTCTCATTTAGGTTGGGCCCAGACACCATGACCTGCGTAAAGTCCTACAGAAATTTAAAAAGCAAAAAAAAAGAGAGAGGAAGAGATCTTAAGAATGTAATATTATAACCTAGGCATTCTTTTTCAGGAAATGAGCCAATTCTTTAAATTCTACAAACATACACTAGCAAAAGTCGTGAAATGTTAGAAAGAACATTTCAGGGTTACAACCAGACTAGACCCAGAATTATTATGAATCATGTGTCAATGAATCACGTACAAAAATTCATATTTAATTTCCTGTGAAAACAACCCCTCTGAAAAATCCATGTTTCCTTGATGTAGTAAAAGAATTTGACACAGCACAAAGAAACAGTCTGTTATCTGAAACAAGTCACATTAGTGACTATAAAAACTCTCAACAACCCACACCAGTGCGTTACATGGCATCTAAGAAAAAAATAGCTTTTTCACAAATAAACAACATTGCTGATAAAACAGGGGTCTTCAGATGTCTGCAAAGGTGTGATCAACTTTTTTTTTTAGATTTGTATTAATGTTAAATACAATATTAAGTCAGCTTTGACTAAAGTTAAATAACAAAGATTAGTTGAATGCATCATTATACATTAAAATGTGGGAGGAACAAAGTCAAATTAAAAAGTAATGTACAAGTATGACTACATCTATCAAAGCAATCATCATAAACCCTGACGTTTGATGTAAAAAAAAAAAATCTGATTCAGTGATAGTGAATATAGTACTACAGTACAATTTTAGGCTCATAGGATACATATGCTGCTGTACAATAAGTTCTGTACTGTATGCAATACCCCCTTTAAATAACAAAACAGAATTATTATAAAGGTTAATACATATTTCTTTACACATATAGAGTTAATAGATACTAAAAGGTCGCTAGCCACTGGTTAATACCACAGAGGGACAAAACAGGATGTTTTTCAAAACAAACACTATCTGTATCATTAGGATTTGGATCTGACCTCAAACACTGATTAACAGGGAGTGACAAAAGCCAAAAAATAATGCACGTGATTTGAAAAACATGCTGTCCATTGTGACCAGGTTATGGGGAGAACTAAAATCATTATCTGTGGTAAGACATACACGTGCAGGCATACAGTACACATACACTCTGCCACCCTTCCCAGTGTTCCTTCTCACCCTGAGGCCTGCGGGACTCCCTACCTTCTCTCTTAAGCTCCACTGAATCTTTGCATCCTGCACAGACATCAGGGAAGAACATGACAACAAAAAGAAAGATAAGCAAACGAAAATGAAGCACAATGTAAAACAAAATCAGACTTGAAAACAGTGATGAAGTAAACTATCAAACACAATGGAATCCATATTTTAGGGCTGATTAGCACCTGTTAATACAATAAAGACAGGCTTCCAGGCTTGACAATAAAAAAAATGCATAAGTTACACAATTCTGTATAATTTCAGCCCTAATTAAGCAACGAATAAGCCCTGTTTATTAATAATATGAGTCATAAATTGGGTTGCTAACAGATCCCTGTCACTCCAAACATCAGAGGACAAAGGTATAATAAAAATATAAAAAAAACTGATGCCACTCTTTTTCTGTCTTGGTAAAGAAAGACAAGAACATTTAGAAATGTTGTCACATTCTAGCTCAATGCTCCTGATCTATTTAAAGACACAGTGTAATGTGAATTGTTTAAATGTGTAGAATCCACATAAGCTTGTTTTTCATCAACTAGTCAATTTACAGCAGGGCATGCAAATTCGCACACAGGCTGGATCTAAATGTAACTCTCTGCAAATTCCATCTCAGACATTAGGTGGTGCTGATGGAACAGCAGAATTAGAGCGGTTTCCATAACCTCTGTGGACAAAGCATTGTGATAAGAACACTTCTTTATTAGGTATTACATGGAGTGAAGATGAAAACAAAATGTCAACGAATCTTTTCTGAAGACAGTCAGAACCTTCAGAGTAGGGATGTGCCGATACGAGTATCGGTACCGAATGGTTCACGGGGCAAATTCCAAATGGAAGTGATCATCCCTATCCCCTTGGAGTGGGGACTTTGGAGTGAGCAGGGCACGTGTGTGCCATTATGTAGTCGTTTGGAATGCACTTGGCAAAGCGAGCGACGTAATTTCCTCATTATCTTCAGCTGGCATGTTCTCGTGACAACGCAGCATGGTGTCCATCAGCAGATTCGCTGATGGATACTGGCACAAAAAACATATACATTTTATATTTTAAAAAGTTTTACATATATTCGTTTTTTTATATATTATATAGCATATTTTAAAAACTTTTTAAAATATAAAATGTATGTTTATTTGCAACAGTTATGCTAACAAAAATAAAAGCGACATCTGCTGACGGACACCATGCTGCGTTGTCACGGGAACATGCCAGCTGAAGATGGAGGAAATTATGTCGCTCGCTTTGCCAAGTGCATTCCAAGCGACTACATAATGGCACGCACGTGCCCTGCTCACTCCAAAGTCCCCACTCCAAGGGGATAGGTATGATCACTTCCGTTTGGAATTTGCCCTGTGAACTGTTCGGTACCAATACTCGTATCGGCACATCCCTACTTCAGAGGTACATTTTTTTTCTCATTTTGTCTCTCATAGTTGAGGTATACCTATGATGAAAATTACAGGCCTCTCTCATCTTTTTAAGTGGGAGAACTTGCACAGTTGGTGGCTGACTAAATACTTTTTTGCCCCACTGTACATTTGTATAATTCCCTTAGCACTCTTTCAAAACATCCCAGCTTTCCACCATGTTTTCACACAAAACAAAACTACTCTGCATGCTGTGCGCACATGAGACTGTTACTTAAAACTCTGCTTTATGCTAGACAGTATTTATTTATCCTGAGTTAATCGAATATGGTTTTAATGATAATTAAAATATGAAATACTAACCGTGGGGAATTTTATCATGATTTATCGTCAAACCGGTAATCGTTTCATCCCTAGATCAGCCACAGTTATTCTAGGATGGGCTTTTTAAATTGGACATAACATGAGAATGTTAAAAACAAATTAAAACAAAGAATCTTTACGTCCTTATAGGAATGATTCAACGTCCTAGCAAATATCTCACTGCTTGTCTGTTTGCCTAACACGTCTTCTCCCGGATCCAGTTCCACGGTTTAGTTGTCTTACAGAGGTGTGTCTTGAGACAACATTACCACTTTAACTTTTCTTTACAATAGTTTCAACAATAGGGAGATTTGAACACTTTGTGCTTGGCTGAATTAGCCTTCTGCTTCTTAAAAGGCAAAGACAAGCAAGACACACACTAGACTTACACTGAATTATCGCCACAAGCCATTTTTATGAAATAAATGCATATTACTCTTACTTATTAACATGCCCGACAACCTTATTTTTTATGATTTAAAGTCCTCAAGAAAAAGCTGAACAATTATAAACTGCAATGTTTGCATCACCTGGAACCTTAAGATCTTTTCTCATGACTGATATTGTGAAACCTGCAACAAAACTAAACCAACTGGGCAGACAGCTATATTTTAGACTCTGTAAAAACATAAATCTAGCTATGAAAACCACCTCCACCATCCACATTTTAATGCTTTGACACTTCATTGATTTGATACGGCTTCAGCTTTGCAAACAAACTCAACCAATAGGGTGAGTTCAGGTAAACTGCACCTGAATTGACCTGAATCACCATATATCGCTCACCTGCTCCAGGCTGTCATCTTCTGCTAGATTCCTAGAGTCCCCATTACTGTTAATAGGAATCTCCATAGTGGCTGCTTTACTCATCATACTGTCCGCCATACTGGAGTGTTACTGAAAGAGAGCGTGAGATAGGAAAAAAGATAAGAAAATAAAACGGAGCTCTTCAATACATTACAAAAGGTTGTTTGTAACATTTCAGAATAACATTCATAAAAGCACTGCTGATAGTTAACAATGTAGACCAGACCTCTCTTCAGACAACAAACGCTATATATTATTACAGGCTCACAAGGTCAAAGTGAATTGTAACCAAGGCCTGGTGTCATTCTAACACATCCTTTTGTGGAAAACATGATGGTGAATATATGATGACAATGTATTTTTGGGAAAAATATCCCTTTAGTTGTAAAATCTATAAGACTTTCTATACTCCACATACATTAGCCGAAAGCTGTAGATGGAAAAGAGTTTACTCAGGAATGTTCTGTTCAAACGCACTTATCAGATCTGACAGAGCCTAACCCAGTCGTTACCACGAAAGGAACTGACATGGAGTTCAAAGAGTAGGCCTAGATCTTTCACTTCAAACTAATTAACCTAGTTAAAAACCCCTGCAAGTTTCTAGATATTTTCATCGATACTTGCTTTGGTTACTCCTTCAGAGCCCAATGCCACACCTGCAGAAGGGGGCTTCACAGCGATGAGTGAGCAACTTTTCAATCAGGCTTTCATTATTAGTTCTCATAAAGCTCAGCCTCCTCAATGAGCAGAGGAAAATATAGGAATGCTGGGAGCTATGTAACAATCATGTGACTCATGCAAGTTTGTCTAAGCTTCAGCTTTAGACAGGAGCTCAGGGAGGGAGGCTCGGTGCTCAGAGGGCTGATCTGAGCGGAGGCATCATAGTCTGCCTTCACAGAAGAGCCATTTAATTCTTCTGAGTGCTAGAGCATGCAATTTGGGCAGGATAAAAGCTACTGTAAACCACAGGAATAGAAAACTAGCATTAATAAATTTGCACTCAGAGAGCAGTGGTGATGGTGGTGAGCAAGTGCAAGTGCTCCTTTACTATAATGATGGAATGGAGGGGATAGATGGTCACGGGATGTGGGATGATGTGACCTTATTGAAGGCATTAAAATAAGCACCATTTACTTAGCAGAACGAAACTGTGGCAAAGTCCTTATGCCAGAAAGCAACGTTTCAATTTGTGGCTTGTAGTATCGCCTTTGATTTACCAGCTACCTGTTGATGTGAATGACATTCCCTCTAACTAATGAATCATTTGCATGGTGGTCAGTATCAACACCTACAGAAAGATGCAGTGAGGATGACACTCAACATCCACTGTAGAAATGCTGTTATTCAGAAAGACATCTGGGATCAATTTGGATGACATTTCAGCAACCTGTTATCATATACAGTATACAAACCCTCCAGTATAACTCATCTGATGGAAACATGCATGGGTAGCTGGACAGATTTTTCAACTGTAATTATGTTACTCTACATGGCTTCATAAGAACTACACAATCATCAAATAGATAGGATTGTAATTTGACAGTCATGATAATACAACAACATGCATCAATGCTTTCCCCCCCCTGTGATTTTCCATTGGATTTGCGGAGGCAGCATGCCATCTAACCAAGGCTGCATCTATGACAACCACCACAGTGAAAGGAACATGACTCGAGCTAGCTGGCTGAGGTAATGTTCCCTCATTAAGCGTCTTCCTAAAATTAAGTTTAAAGGGACCTGAACTGTAACAAGAGGCTGTTTATAACAGAACAACACATATTCCAAGTGTTGACAAGTGATAAGGATTTTGATTTATCCCAGTGATTCGAATATTTTGAATCGGTTCACTAAAAAGATTCGTTCAGATACCTGTCAATAGGTGGCTACAATTGTTTTAAGCGAGTCATTTAATAATTCACTCAACCGAATTGTCTGCAAACACGGAGTGGACCAAAGGATAATAATTGTTTTATTAAATGTGCATGCTTACAAACCTACTAAGAGCATCATACACATTTTCTCACAAAACAACTGCATCTCTATTTAGTCAACTGTTGGCGATTACTGTTGTTGTTGGAAAACAACAAGACAGCGACTCGTTCAGTGAACAATTTGTTCAATAAGTCCAAACCTGTGAAATATCCAGCACTCGAATGTTATTGGCTTAGTTTTGAAAATATAAATCAAGCTATGAGCTCAAAGAAAAATGTGTTAGTACATGGAGGTGAACGAAAACGTTCACTTAAGAAGTCTAAACTAAAGTCTAAAACCGCGTGGCGTGTAAATCCTGCGGAGCAGCTACCTGGCGAACAGGTGTGACAGGTGAACGGCGACTATTTTCATGCCATTTTACCAACAACTTCCTTTAAAGCACGCGATTTCTACTCCGTTTAAAGATAAACGTTTATTAGCTACATCATCTACATTATGGCTCGTTCAGCAGTGAAACAGTTATGCATTTTATTTCCCATAACGCATCATTGTCATAATGTGTCAGCCAAGCATAATGTGTCTGACTAAAGCATCCAACGTCCAAGTGACCGTCCACGTCGCCAAAGGGCCTTGAATTAAAAAAAAAAAACGTTTTCATGCATCAAGACAAATATCACACTTGATCAGCAAGATCGCTAGCTAAAGCCACATATACATTTTTGTCATCATATACACTACATGAACGCTAATTCAACATCTGTTTAGTGTGATAAGGACTACATAAATAAAAAGCAAGACATGAATGGTTATCTTACCTGTGTATTTCCTATTCTAGGATTAGCTATTTGTCGCGCGTGCTGGATATTTTATCCCAGTTCATTCGCAGTTATATACTGGCTCTTCCAAAAGAGTGAGGAAATAAGCATGCATTCATGGGGGCTTAATTTATGTTAATACATAAGCAGGCAGCTTTTCGCATGTGCAGCGGAATCCACTAACGTTATGTCCGGAGGCTTGTTTGTATTGTTGGGCGAATCAGCCTCCAGTGGCCCGAAATGCCTTGCGGATCTGACGACAGGCGACGACCTTCCTTTAGCCGACGTGGAACTCAAACACGCGGCTAGCGCGAGGAAGCAGCCATGATGAGAAGGGAAGAGAAGAGCGATGCACCTGTCCCAGCAGTAGACTACTGTAGGATACATGTTAAAAACAACAGCAGCAACAACAATATTAATAATAATGATTATATATATATATATATATAAACAAAGAAGACTGAGAACGCTGAGAGACTGACCTACAAAAACAACACATTTCTTCAGACTGTCTTGATGTGTTAATTAAAATATTTACTTAAAAATTATATTTTATGCTTATTAAAAAAAACAGCAACATTAAGACCACAGAAATAACACAAGAAAGCCACTAGAATGAGCAACTGTCCAGTTGATCAGAGGATGGCAGTATAAGGCAGGGCAGTAAGAGTAAAAGTGCATTTCAGTGCTACACCGAGTGGCAAGTTAAATGTGTAAAAATGTAGGACTAACTTAATTATGTAAAAGGGTCTTTGGCAAAAACATACTGAAAGTAAAATGGTCTAAAGGAAACTATAAGTAAAAGTATGATTTTTGCCTTTACTAGCATTCAAATATGAGAATGCAGGGATAGTTGACCTAAAAATAAAATGTCTGTCATTACTCACTCTCACGTTGTTTCAAACCTGTATACGTTTCTTTCTACTGCTGAGAACAAAAGAAAATATTTTGAAGAATATTGGTAGCCAAACAGTTGATGGTAGCCATTGACTTCTAAAGTGGATACAAATATATGGAAGTCGAAGGCTACCAACATTCTTGTGTTCAACAGAAGAAAGAAGCTCATATAGGTTTGGAACAAGTGGAGAGTGAGTAAAGCACTCCTGGCTCAACGGATGACCCCAACATCCCACCTTGATATCTTTCATGAGGAACTAGATGCCATTTAGAAAGGCTGTGTGTGAATGAACATGTATGTATGTTCATATGTGTGTATTTGCACAAAGATGCACAACTAGAAGCAGCTGCTGGAGCCCCTTGCTTTCAGCCCACTGCTCTTGCCCCAAATCACCCTACAGAGAGCACAGAGACATGGCACATAAGAGGCTGCTGACTGATCCAAACCAGCTCCCATGAGACACACAGCACCAGTTTGTCTTTGTATGTCAGAGCTGGTTGATGTTGAAACTCCTCTGGCCCAAGTTATATCAAAACGGTCTGGGCAAAATATGCTAAAAACATTAATGTAATTAAAGAATACTTATTATTGTATAGCAGGTAGTTCTGTTCAGTGTTGATATTGTTAACTGGAGCTAATATTAAAATAATTTTCAATTGTAAAAAAAAATGAAATAAAACGTAAATATATAGATGAAAAGATTAGAGATCTTTTAGAAAATTTAGATTTGTTGACTTGGAAACTAACTGAAATAAAATACGTTCAAGTTGAAGTATTAAAATTACTAAAACTAAAACTGGACTAAAAAAAATAAAGCTAAACAGATTTTTTTTTAATAGGAAAGAAAAAAAACTTTAACAATTCAAAGCATATATCAAAATTACTAAAATTAAAATGAAAACTGAAAATATAAAAATAAAAGCTAATTCAAGTTACAGTGTTATGCCAGTAGGTGACGGCAGTATCAAGACTCTCTTTATGAGTGAATCATCAAATCATTTACTTAACCAATTTGTTCAAACATGCCGATTCATTCAGGAATGAAACATGGCTTTTTAGAGTAAGTAATTGAATCATTTACTTAACCTTTGTTCCAACACACCGATTCTGTGTTTCTCAGAGACGCACAATGGTCACTTTGGCTTAGTTTAGTTACTTTGGCTTAATTTTCATTGGAACAAATATAGACTGTCAATGATGGCTTAAGTTTTCACATTCACCCTTTGAACAGTGCATGGTTGCCTGCTACTGCCAAAAGACCACTATTACACTGCTAAGGCATTTAAAACACAAAGTTAAACGAGTAGCAGGGTTGTTGTATTTTAGAAGCACTGAACTCTCGCTGCTTTTCAAACACCAGGTAAAAGTCTCTATGTGGCTTTGCCCTCCTCAGTTTGGAGTTTCTCTCTGTGAGCATAGCAGGAGAGTGTATTTACGCATCAGTGTTTGTGGGAGATTGCTCTGTGACAAAGTGTTCACACGCAACTCAACAGCCAGCTGCAGAAATTCTGCTGGTTTTCAAATGAATTGAAGTGTTCCCAATAAATCACCTTTAACCATATATGCGGACCAAACTCTAGTCCCAAAATGACTTAATTTATCTACCATTAGAGATCTGTAATTAATTTGTTTCAACACACACTAAATTAACAAAGAATTCTCTTGGTAGGTGTTACTTGATTATAATAAGTGTGCGAGAGGGGACAAAAAAGCAGATTTACAGCTGTGAATACAGGTGTGTCCTGTGAGATACAGCAATAAATTGTTTCACGTGAAAAGGAAGCGTGAAAGCAAGATTGGTATGTTTACGTCAGGATATCTTTTGACACCAATTTACTATTTCACATTCAATCAAAGTAGAACTGTAACCAAACTGGGAGTCAAATCTGTGTACTGATGGCAGCGTCCCACTAATCGATTCAAAATGAAAGATTTTGATGCACTCTTAAGAATAAAGCCTGCGTGTCCACCTAATGTGACGATGCACACACGAGGAGACGCTAGAGAATACTTTACCAAGACTTTATTTACAGGAACCAATTCCCAGGGTGTTGTCTGCTAAGTTTCCATCATGGCTCCTCCCTCCCTCGACTCCGCCCTGAGGCATTGTCCCGGTTGGTCTCTGGACCAAAATCTGTGCCCACCATTCACCCCTTGGACTGTATTTTCTGCCCTGGACTTTTTTTCTTTGCTCGGCGCCCTCCTCCAGAACACCCACCCGCCCTCCTCAGTTGGACTATGTACAGCGCAAGGACATGCCTTACCGGGAGCACGGGGCAAACTGTGACATGTCTATGTTTCATTGTGTTTTGAGTTTTGTCTTTCTTGTCTTGTGACAAAAGTGGCTATTTCCTGAGTTTATGTAATTAAAGATCTTCCTTGAAGTATTCCTCATTGTGTGAGTTTCTATACTACTATTATGTGACAACAGTTCTTAAAGAACCATTTTTTTCCTTAGTGTGAATAACATTTTAATTATCTGAAGAAACTTTTTTCACTATAAAGCACGTTTTGCGCAATAGAAAGTACACATGTATTTAAATGATCTTCAAGAAACCATAGATGCAATTAAGAACCTTTGTTCCTAAGAGTTTAAGTGATGTCATTCCTGCTGTATTTACCAAAATCTTGCTCTCTTGTCAGAATTTGTCACAATGACTCTTTTCAGTTCACTCTTGGTGAATATAGCTTGCTAGATGAGCGTGAATCCCTCAGTTTGTTTAATTTCAAATGAATTTATGCAATTAATCAAGTATAAACAGCTCATGTTCAGGCCTGTGGCCAAAATAATCTAGATTTTAGTGTTTGTGTACTAATATTTAAAATCTGCTAAAATTGATCATTCCAAAACTAATAGGCACACACTCCTTGTGATGTTGTTTACACCGTAGCATTGTCTCCAGCATGGCTCCATGTAAACTGTGTGTATCTGCCAGGCGGTCACCTCCTGGGGTTCAGTCCATGCGCAGAGAGAAAGATGGATGGTCTTCCTCAACAAAGTCATTAAGAGTATGAGCAAACATTCCCTTAGCCACTCTTAAAATGACAAACCTCTCTTTCTAAATAAAGTGAGTAGTCGCACAAAAACAAATAACTTTTCCAGAACACTCCTCTCCAATGTCATCTGATCTGGAACTGCTTTCTGAAAGATGTACTGATACATAAATGCAAGGGGTGACCTTTGACCCGTGAGGGGTCCTATAGGTACTGGGGACCTCAGTGGTTTGGGAATTAAAGGGAGGCACAGCTTGAGGTCAGTCTCTTATAATGTGTGAACAACTATAAGTGAGTAACGGCTCGTTTCTTTGATTATTTGCACCCACAGCTATTCAGCTAAACACAGAGTATATAAATCATCTTGATTTAGCGTACACTTCTCTTAAAGACTCCCCATCGCCTAAACCCACCTGCACTTGCTTTATGGACAATGACAAAAAGAGCAGGTCTGATGAAATCAGCCACTAAGTTTAGATTTATAGGCCACAAGTTTGCAGAGAGATAATTTATAATAGGCCTTCTTCTTCTACAGGACTTTAGAAATGCTTCTAAACATACTTGCATCCTCAGAGATGTTCACCCAATCTAATGTAATTATTTAAATATTCCTCATTAAATAAATACTGAGAATGCAATTTTTGGTGTAGAGCACCAATATCTAGAAACTGTGGTTTGACATTGAAAGAATAACTTCATGTATGAAAATAACTAAAACTACAACTGAAGTAAAAAATTAATAAAAACTATATTTAAAAAAACGTATCTTAGTAACTCAGAATAACACTGTTTACACCAACAATATTTGCCAACTAGCCTAACAAAGTTGTCTGACCACAAATTTTCATACAGAACATTATCACTGACTTGCAAGCTCCCAGCATGCATTTCAGCATGGATAAATTATGCATTGTGTGTTTTAATGTTTGCTGACTGTTGCTGTTATTTGTTGTGTGATGATGGTAAGAGAACTTTTGGAGAATTTATTCCCAGTTGTAGTGTCGATCCACCTCGGGCCTTCCAGACACCAGCTCTGCCTAGGCGTGAGGATCCCCTGTCTCCGCCTCTAGTCTTCAAGTCCCGGACTCCATCTCGGCCCTCTGATCCATCGGCTCCACCTTGGCTCCTTGCTCCCTCATCTCCACTGTGGACTGGAGTCGAGGGAAGGAGGAGCCATGGTGGAAACTTGTCAGACAACACCCTGGGGACAACCGATGGCGCCGCCTTCGTCAGTCATCGAGCTGCCTCCGCCACAAGATTCCACTCCTCTGGCTTTGCCTCATCCCTCCATCCCTCTGGCTCCATCTGGCACCTCCTTCCTTCCAGTTCCACATTTGTCCTTAGTCACTCTGGCTCCGCCACGGTCTTTCAAGTACCTGCCTCACTCACATAAACCATCAGCTCTGCCTTGGTCCTCAGGACCTACGGTGTCACCCTAGGCTTGTTTGAGATGCATCAGTGCTGTGCAGACCGATCTGTGTATGACATCAAAGTACTGCGAGAACAATTCAAAAGCATAAAGAGTCGTTTGTTCTCCAATCGCTCTTACGGTATTTTGATGTCATACGCCAATCGGTCTGCACAGCGCTGGTGTATTTCAAACAAGCCTCCTGGCTCTCCATCCGCTCAGCTTCACCTGGGTCTCCACCTCCAGTTGGCTCTGTCTCCATCGGTTGTTCCCAGGGTGTTGTCTGCTAAGTTTCCATCATGGCTCCTCCCTCCCTCGACTCCGCCCTGAGGCATTGACCCGGTTGGTCTCTGGACCAAAATCTGTGCCCACCATTCACCCCTTGGACTGTATTTTCTGCCCTGGACTTTTTTTCTTTGCTCAGCGCCCTCCTCCAGAACACCCACCCTCCCTCCTCAGTTGGACTATGTACAGCGCAAGGACATGCCTTACCGGGAGCACGGGGCAAACTGTGACATGTCTATGTTTCATTGTGTTTTGAGTTTTGTCTTTCTTGTCTTGTGACAAAAGTGGCTATTTCCTGAGTTTATGTAATTAAAGTTCTTCCTTGAAGTATTC